AAGTTACAGTAAGTCCCTGGGTTACCTCCGACTGAAGGACAGTTCCTACTTGCCATTTAATATCATGTAAATTTGCCTTCTCTTTGAAATTATTGAACCATCCCTCAACCCCTACTCACAACAAATTCATCACAGCCACTTTCACTTGCTGTGCATGCAGCTTTTAAATTATTGAAAAGGCTTTGAGCCTTTTCTTGCAACTAACCCACTGACATAGAGTTGATTCTAACTTGTAGCAACCCTGTAGAACAGTAGAACTGCCCTATCTAATTTGCAAGGCTGTGAATCTTTATGGAAGCAAATTGCTACATCTTTCTCCTGTAGAGTGGCTGATGGGTTTGAACCACCCACTGTGTGGTTTGCAGCATTTTAACTACTGCATCATCAGGCGCATCTTTTCTGCACTAACATAAAGTAAGGCTTAGTAAAATTTGACACACTTAGGAACTGATCTGCTTTGTAACCCTGGGACTGCCTGTACTCACATCTACACAACTATGATCCTAGAAGCTCTTTGATGAAACATCACAAAGCCAAAAAGTTGGGATATGAATGGGTCCTTGGCTGGGAAAAGAGCAAATTAAACATATCTCCTCTATCTTTGAAAATGTATGGGTCAGGAGGACCAGCAGAGTTGCTTACGTCCAAGAAGACAGGATGTCTACATACCTTGAAATTAAAATTCTAGCCGAGAATCCAGCCTGGAGGAGAGGTTCTAGCTGTTCTGTTGAAAACGTCACTCTAACATTGTGGTGATAAAATAGAGTTGGCATTGTAGTGGGGGGGCAGGGGACTGGAGGCTGTTCAGGCTCAGCTTCTAGAGGGGCTGCCTAACAGGGTTCAGGATCTGGTCCTTGGCTCTGTTGGCTCACAACGGTGGTCTTGTCACGATACCTAGAGGGGTTCTGGGGCTAAAAAAACAAGATTTAGACTCCCTGCCGAGACTGGAAGGCTCAGCTGGGCAGGGCTTCTCTCCGTTAGAAAGAATGTGTGTTTGTGGAGAAGACACACTGATTAGTCAGAATGTTCCTTATGAGCAGGTGGAAGCTGGGCAGGTGGAGTTGTTGAGTGACCTTAGTTGACGGTATCATCAGGCTTTGAGAGCCATTTTATCATCATGGCTGCCCTTGTCCTAATGCAGTTCATCCTTCGGCATGGTCCGTTAGTGTCATGGTAACTTCCTCTTTGCTGTGGTCATGGGATTAAGCTTGAGCATTAGGCTCAAAATAGTCACATGTTATC